GGTTTAAACACCGTTATCGACAAACAGAGAGTATACGGACAAAAGTCAAATTTGATGTTAAATTGATTTCGTCAATTAAATGGGCATTTTGCATTTGTAAAAAAATCTTCGCTAAACATAATATTTAAACGTCAAATTAAAAGTAGAAATGACATATGTTAATTGAATTCTTCGTTAGATACAGTTTAATTTTAACTCAAGTTTCATAAACTTTCCTTCGGTTTCTTAAAACGGGAAAGACTACTATACTTGTGTCATTTGTTTCATGGCCAGCGTTTCAATTAAATGTCTGCTAATTGCTACTTTTCTGTCATCTGTAAATATGACAGATGACGAAAAAAATTCGATGCTCAGTATTCGCAAGATTAGACAACTAGTTAAGCAAGCGCATGAAATATTAGTTCTGTGTCTTCCGCGGTTAAGAAAGGTCTGGACGTTTGTAAGAAGGTCGATGCTTCGCCGACTGCGCGAGAGGTCAATGACCCGTAAGGCTTTGAACCGGGACATATTGCGTTTAAGCTTTTTGTAGAAAGTGCTGTTACTTCGCGTTACTTTTGTATTAAAGTAAATCCTCGCTGGCTTGCCACGGGAAGAATTTATGCTTTTTTGTAATCGTATGTGCAGCCTCGCTCTGCACCGCAATTTTAATTATCTCATCCTTCAATTTCAGTATCTTTCATCCCTCGAAAACTATGTTTTTTCAATGTTACATGCAGTCACAACATATATTTCTTCAATATGTCATTTAAAAATTACTAAATGCATTTTTTTTTAATATATCCTTAGAGCGTCCTCGCGCAAAAAATAAATGCGATAAAAATATATGATATAATATACTCTAGAATTTCTAGAACCTTTTTCTCCTACAAAAGTTGAAATCGCGATCAAATTACGTTTAATAAAAATAATAGAATTACATGAATTACTAATTAAAATAATTCTAAAATGCGAGATAATGTAGGTATGTGAAAACCCGAAAATTATATTCGAAGAAAGAAAAGATAAATATTTTTCGTATACTTAATTCGACTTACTTAATCGTAAGTCTTTCAAAATCATTACGCAAACGAGTGTAATTATATCGCGCAAATTATCGAATCGGGAATATAGTTTCGTTTAAAATGAATCGTGTGTACGACGGTACGCATGATTTCGGGTTCTCTCGCGGCAAACAAATTTCTCCCCGTTATTCGCCGCAATCTTTACGCACACGCAATCCACTTGATAAACACGCGTGTATATACATACGTATACGCTGGACGGTCCGTTATATACTTCTAAAGTAACAGTTACAAGTGCGCGGAACGGCGCGCGCGGGAGGCAAAACACCTTGCTTCGATCCAAATGGGTTCCATGGAAACGACGTTTCCGGTTCACATTCGGTTTTCTATCCGTGGTGACCGCTATTACGTGTCTGATTAGAAACTTACGAGTGACGCGCGACATGCCGCTACGAATTTTCTAGTTTTTTTTTTGCGCGCGCGACATCCCGATTTCTTTCTCGATCGAAAATCTATCAAATCTACCAAATGCTTGAACGAAATAATAATAATATAGATATAAATTGTACTTGACATATAAAACTAAAATTATATTTCATATTTTTACCTACTAATTTATCTCGTATTTACTTTTGACATTTAAATTTTTGTATTATTTTTAAAAGCACTTTTTTTAACTGAACATTACGATAATCTTGCTATAAACAAATTTTATATAGTTCTATTTTAAAGATTATTGCACCAACTATGAATTTACCAATACTTGTGTTTCCTCTACAAACATTTCATTAAAAAATGATTAAAAAGTTAAATTTGCTAGTTTGGCAAGTATTTTTACACAAATTTCATTCGATCGAAGGACAAAAACTATCGCATTGAATTGGAAGCATGAATATGTCAATTCTTTTTATTCGAACAAAATTGAAAAGAACAATGTTAAAATCTAAAATAATAGATTGTAACAGAAATATTTTAATTTCAACCGCGAGAAAATCATTCGATCGATTAACGTTAAGCTTCCGTATCCGAGAGAGTATTGACCTACAGAGGACAAACTCCGAAAGTTCGCAAACGCGCGTTCGATTCGTGTGCAAGAAGCGGTCGTACCGTAGGAAATTAATATATCTGGTACACAGTCGCGTTCTCCTGCCGAGGAGGGAAAAGATCGACGACCCCGAGGTACATATCTAGGTTAGTAGTCGTCGGCGATTCACGCGGAAACTTCTTTCGCTAGGCGTAGGACCGTCGCCGGCTGGCTCGCTATCGTGAAAATCGCAACCAAGTGGTGAATCGCGCATGTTGTCCCATCGAAAAGTGAAATTCGACATAAGCCAGCCGTCGCGTATGTCCACATGCCGAAATTTCGTCACAGCAGAGGACGAGGTCAACGGCATGGCTTCCATAATCGTAGTGTTAATAAAGCACCGTTTGTCGCGAGGAACACGCAGTAAAACGGATTTGCGACGATACATTTTCATTTGGCACATATATAGAGTTCCGAATCTCTTTATTTATTTATTTATTTATTTATTTGCAATAGCGGTTCTCTCCCTCCACGCGTGTGAAAGAAGAATTATGGAGGGTTCGTTTTCCCGCGACCCGTGAATTAATTAATTTTCTCAGTGAATCGTAAGCGATAATTAATCGCTATAATTTAACGATCAGTCATATATAAATTTTGTAATGAAAGGTTGGGGGACAATATGCATGAACAAAACAGCATTGGCAAAAAAGAAAACCTTGCACGTAAATGACACTACACTACCGTATGCGCGATTTCGATAAAATTACGAATAAATCTCGCACAATCCAATATCACAATCCAAATATTCTATTAATATCGGGAACAGCGCCAAGTGAATTATAGCGAATCAATAAATTGTAATGCTAAATCATCTTGCGGTAAATATGCATTTTGTTTGCATTTTGTGGCATTGTTGGAACCTCCTATTCTTTCTCGATAGAAATTTATTTCATGACGCATAAATGTGCGTACAATATTCGCGACATTATAAAAAATAAATATTTCGATAAGATCCTACAACTTTCTAAAAAAGTATCTTAATATAAAAGAGATAACAAATGATAATTTTTCCGATTTCTATAATCTCGATCGGCAACGAATCTGATAAACTTGCAAATCAGAAACCAGATCTATTATGATAGGTACATGAATTTATAATAATGGATATAAAAATTTCTAAATTAGAAATCGAAAGACAAAATTAATTTTCTAATATGAATACCGTGTGAAAAATGCTTCGGTATATAATAAAAAGGATAACTCGAAGACATTTAAAAGCTGTAAATACAATGTATCTCTACGGCCTCAAAAGTTCACACTTCGACTCTGCTTTTCAGTGTGTATTAACGATTTAATTTTTTCGACACGCAAATAGACTTCAATGATCGCTCACGTAACCTTGCGCGGTAGAATCGAGACCGGTCTTTCGGATTAGGGTCCGAGAATTTCGAGGGTTCGACGACCTTCCTTCGCGTGTCGCGATGTGTCGGCGGTCCCGTCGACTAATCTCGCGATGACTCGAAAGACTCGAGTCGCGCGCGCGCGTATATGGTGAACGGAGTGAACGGGGTTACCGATCTCAAATGGCCGTGACTCTGGGCCAGGGTCTGGGCCAGTCGGATTCCACATACTCGGTGATCGTGAAGTCGACACGCAAAAAACCGAACGAGGATTTACAGGTCGCAAATGTATTATACGTTGCTATCTCTCTCCATTTTCATTCGTTACTAAATTTCGTACATGATTCGATATACAACAGTCGAGCTGCAATCGATCTATCTGTTTTTATGTCAATTAAATGATACTTTATTGAGACTGACATATGCAACTCGAAAATTATCATTATTTTTCTTATGAATAAATTAATTTGACATTTTTTTATATATTTGTATGTGTGTGTTTATGTGAGACAGAGAATTTAAATATAATAGTATATAAGTTCCCTATCGATTTGTGCATCACGTTATGTATCACCTTGGTCGCACCTAAGTTGCGAATGAGAATAGATAGTCGGAGGACCAAGTAGTACAAGCCCGAAGTAGTCGGAGAGCTTAAACGCGTGTTCCTGTAAAGGGATTCCGAGAGGGCGGCAGACAAGAAAAGATGGTGCACAGAAAGGTTTGAACTGTGCAGTAGAGGGATGCGCCAAAAAAGGCAAAATAGAAATAACGTGACAATGAGATACGATAAAAAGCCCTTTTTTAAAAACCCGAATCATAATTTTCGAATTAATATAAAACTCTCGTCCTCTGTACACAATGAAACATCAAATCCCTTAATCAAAGTTTAAATGATTAAATGGTTAATAAAATACAAATTTCCTTTTATACATAAAACTATATATTTGAACAAAATTGACGTAGCTCCGCATTGTGCACAGGAATATCTTGAAACTTCAAATCTCCAAGTAGACGATCCAACTTTCGCTAGAACGTTTCCGAGTATGGACGGCGCTTTAAAATCGCGAGAAGTTATCCGAAGAATTAAACTTGGGGAATGATCAGCGCATGTCTTCTATCGTCATCAACAACAACGAGGAACGAACAAACAAGCACTGCGACGGCGAAGAGAAAGGGAGAAAGCGGCGCATAAAACAGGGGTAGTGCGCCGAAGGGGTTGGTTGCACGCGCGTCGAAGCGGGCGGCTGAGAAAGGGGTAGCGAGAGAAAGAGAGAGGCACGAGAAGGGGTGAAACGCGATAAACGGCAGGACAAGGACGCAAGAGGGAAATGCACGAGAAAAAGAAGCGGGATTGGAGCAGCAGCGACGGCGGCGAACGAAAAGGAATGAGCGGGGGATGAACCGGGAATGATAGACCGGGGATACAAAAGTGCTATACGATAAAGCGAGACGCACAGAGGGAGGAAAACGGGAGGATTCGGAGGGTGGCGAGCGAGAGAGAGAGAGAGGGAGGGAAACCTCTGGCAACGGGTCGATCGAAAGCGCAGCGCAGAGAAATGCACCACCTCTGGCTCTGGTCTGGCAGCTTTGCGGGCGCACCACCGCGTTCGCGTGCGTCAGAAAGAGAGAAAGAAAACGAGAGCGAGAGAGAGAGGGAGAGACTGGAGAGAGAGGGAGAGAGAAAGGTACCGACAGAAGCGGAAGGGAGATCGACGTATATCCGCCGACCAATACCGACGCAAAGGGAGGAGGACGAGAGAGGAGAGTCAAGCCGAGTCGCGTTGGGCTAGGTCAGGTCTACCCGAGTTCCACACACACCGCGCTCTCTCTCTCTGCGTGTGTCATCCCGCCGAGGAGAACTACGCGAAGGCGGAGGCGCAACCCCTACGCGAAAAAGAGGGTCGCGAGTTTCCCCGAGTCTCGCGAAGTGCGGCTTCACCCGAAAAACTCGATCGTCCCGATTTTTCGGAATCGGCCGGAATCCTGCTCGAACTCGAATCGAAACGCTGATCGGTGGCCGAGGAGTGCGAATTGTTCGCGAAAGCCGGCAACAGTGCGCGCGTTGTCGGACGACGCTTCGTTAAGGGGTGACACGAGGGAGAGATGCCTCTCTCGATCGGCATTGTGAATAATTACGAGTGTAGCTAATATACGTAACACGCGAGTGTGTCTCCGGGATCAATCCTATATGTTCGATCCCTGTATCGAAAAGGGTGGGAAATAAGGGAAGACTTAAAGCGGGGTGAGAATTAAACATTGTTGACAAACAACAAGTTTACAATAATCCGATCGGCCGAATCGATCGCGCTTTTTCCCGATGTCCTGATAATCGATAAGCGTCGTCGCCGCGCGTAGGTGTATAGGGACCGCCTAGTCAGCGAAAGTCGGGACAGCGATCGGCCTTATCGACGTAATCATTTCTCGCCCTCGCCCTCTCAATCGTGCGATCCTCAGTGCGATCGGGCAGGATAAATGTTGAGGGTAAACGGCGGCCTGCGTCGCCCGCCAGCGCGAGGCAACCGAGTGGACCGAGTCTTGATTGTGACCGGCGAGATGCCGGTCTCTCTGAGGAACCACAGAATAACATAAAGGGCGGCCCGGCGATGGTTTAGAGCCTTTTGCAGCGCGCACGCACGGTCGCGCAACGGCGAAAGGATCGCGACGGAATATCGCTGGTGAACTTAGAGGAATAACGTTTGCCATCGTGGATATTGTCCAATATACGCCCGATGCTCTGAATCGAAGCTGCGAAAATCCGGAGATCGAGAGATATCACGCGGTTAGTATCGAGTAGGAAAAAAAAAGAAGGAAAAATCAAATTGCTGTCCCACCCAATTAAAATTGTATCCTTTTGGTCCCCTTTAGAGAGAGACAAAATCGTATAAAAGAGTTTGGAGTTTCGAATAATTCAAAGCGCAAGCATGTGGTTGTTGTTCGAAAACTATATATGAGATAAATACTCGTTCTTATTAAATATGTATTTCGAATTTTAATGTTTGAAATGATAGAAATATTAATTCTGAGATTTTTTTATGTATTACGTAACGAATACTTGATAGATATTTTTGAAATTTAAATGGAGCAAAAAGGAGAGATCGGGAAATATCATTTGCATTAAAAAAGCAATGATTATATGTGAAACGTATAAAACATTAAAAATTCGTAACGTAACCGGCCAGAACATCGTATATGCTCTTTCGCCAGAAATCGATTCTGTAGCGGCTGCAATTTTGCGAATGCAGGGAATTATAAAATGCGTACGATGACCAATGTGTTATGTGAACGATCTTCAGAATTTCTGTTTATAAAGCTCGTTGCATGATAAAAATCTTTTGTTAGACGAGAGCTTTATTAGAAGGATTCGAATTTAAAACAATAAGCCAATATACTACGGAGAAATAATTAATTAAAATATAATTATATTAAACTGATTTTAGTTAACTATATTGTAAGAGAATAATTATTTAATTAGGCGGAAGACGATATAAGCACATAAATAGTTAAAAATTGAAAAATAAAATATATATAATTGAAAATTAAATAATTTGCAATCGATTTAAATAAATAAATGTTGCATGGATAATATCTCTCCACCAGGAAAACTGCATTATGCAATATCCGTGTTCTCAATATGCTTTAAAACGAAGAAGAGGAAAAGCTTTTACAAAAAAGCTATACAACGAATTTTACATAATGAATTAATTTTGAAAGAGTAGTTGCAAGAAAAAGAAAATAAGTTGAAATTGTTCGCAAAATTGCACAATAACAAAAATCAAAGAAACTCTTAAGCGTTTATAAAAAATTAATTTATAGAAACTCGTGAATAGAAAATATTGCCTAAAATTATGAAGCCTCCAGAGCGTAAAATTAATGCTAATTATATTTTTGAAAAAAAAAAAATTATTTCCTCTCTCTCTTTCAGAATTGTGATATTTGTTCTGTGAAAAATCTGTTTTTCAAGTTTTGAAAAACGCGATAAAATGCTTTTTGCCGGAAAATCGCGTGAAAAGCATATACGCGAGCGAATAGTTTGCGACGACGACAGTGCGCGATTTTCATGGAAATCGAAATTCACCGGGTAGCGAAAACCCCCAACGGGTGGAAGCGGGCGGGGAGGACTTGAGAGTTTATGCCCCCGCGCCCTTCCTTCCCTTCTCACCCTTCCTCTTACCCCTGCAGTCGATCAATGCGTGGACGGGTTTCACTTTCGCGGTGTTAAAGTGTTGCACCACCGCAAATTGAAGAGTCGACGAGGAAACCAAATCGCGAATGGCGATTTATTCAATTCGATCACGATTTTTTGTACGGATGACCTTTTAATATTCGTGGAAAAAATCTTGATAATTTAATTGTTCCAATATAATCACTCTACTTATATATATATATATAGATGCAATTATTTATCTCGAGTTTATACGATCGTTAATTATAAATTATCCCTCAAGATTTTTAAACAATGTATTTCAGCCTAAAGCATTGCAAAAATGTCATCGAAATGCCATGACTATTTTAAAATGTGTTGACTATTTATTTACGCATTGATCCAGTCAGTTTCGAATAGCTCGATTCGAGCTTATTGCTAATTTATGATTTCCTAAAGTTTCGATACACGAAATGCAACAAGAAATAGAAATGCAACGCTAAGGCTTTTAATTATTTCTTCGACAATGATCGCGGTTAAGTTTCGCAAGACTGAACTTAACTGAGCGTTTGCTCGACGATAAAAATAAAAAACGTAGACCTATAAAAAACCGTATGGGTAAAAAATAGTGAGGCATCAATGGCAAGACTTCAATTATTCATTCGAGCGCTATTGAACAGATAAGAATGAAGCATACAGTTCACGATCCTCCTAAAAATGGTTAGCAACATTTATAATTCTATGAATAAAATAGAATGCTGATATGGCAGCGATGTTCCATATTATAGGATTATTAATAATATTCGCAAAATCTATCATGAAGATTCAAAATTCCTAACACGTAACCTGCTTAAAAAGAACCTAATCGATCGTTTCATTATAGTTTTCGAAGGAGATTGCCACAAGAATTTTACTTTTATCATTATTTTCTATCAGTTGAGTGATCGAAATTTTAAAAGTGTCTAATTATGAAAAAACATGCAATACTATCTAAAGGTATCTAATTATACAAAATATAATTTGTATATTAAAATATTTTGTAGCTTTTGCGTCAATCATAATAAAGATCTTACTTAAAAACATATAATACATATAGTATTATAAGTTTAAATAAAATTTTTCTTCGCAAAAATTACATCTCATATAATATTATTCGAATTTATGCGTTTTTATATATTGCAAGATGGATCAGTTAAATCGTAAAAAAATAGACTGAAAAAAATATTAAATTAAAAAATTTTAGTAGATTAGAAAATAATATTTCCACAAAATCTTTCCGACATTAAATGTAATTAAGAATATTTCGGTTCAATTTACAGCGAAGGATGGAGGCCAGCGAGTGGGATCATGCGACCTTGAGGGAGGAAGAATTCGAGCAACATGCCGTATATTTGGTACCGGATGTGGCGACATCGTCGGGTGATACCAATCGTGCGGAAGCATCTTTGCCGCGGAATCTGGTCCTCAAGCCCTCTCAAGCTCTCAACGATGTACGTTTTTTTTTTCTTATAAAAAGTCTTATTTCAAAACTTCTCGATGAGAGTTATAACTTTAACTGTGAGCATTTGTATATAATTATCAACTTAGTAATTTTTTTCAACTCTATAGCTGAGCTCGCGCAAAGTCGAGCAAGGAAAATGACTTAAAAAAAAATCATATTCTCTTTTAAAGTAGAATATTAACCGAGATACAGAAATTCTAAAATTTCAACAGACATATAATACACGCGAGAGCAATACAATGTATTGCAAATTATTACATTGCATCTTTCACAACGTACTATTATTGCTACTAGTAAAAATGTAGTAATAATCTTTATTCCCTTTTTCTCTTGTCCATTAGAGTCTTTTCGTTAATATTTCACTATCAATTTATGTTGTCAATTACAGCTTCCATATAACATACGATTAATTTCAGAGTTATCTCTCGCTTTTTTCTTTTGAGCATTGTATAATTTCTAACCACTTTTTATTTCATTTTATTCAAAATTTTTCATCTAAATTTGTGCATTAAAAAAGATGAATCATGCACAACTCAAGCTTTATGACAAAGACGGTTTTTAAATATCATGATAATATGAACTTATGAAAAGAAATTGACTGGATGACAAATCCAACCTGATCGAGTGACAAAGTTAATTTATGAGATATGACTTAGGAACAAAATCGAATCGTTATATTTTTTTCAATGTGAAAAATCGGAACCTTGAAAATAATTATATATTGCAAAACTCAAAGTTTAAAGTTTTTTTAACATCTATAAAATGTCAAATTTTTCTATGAAAAAATCGAAACATTTTAAACTAAATTGCGTAACGGTTGTAATATATCGAAAACGAGAATCGCATGGGCTAATCGACATTCGAGCTTCCGTTTGTCAAAAAAGAAACAGAAGCATCGAAAACGCGCGCTGAATTGAAAGCGCCGAAGAGTTAAATTAGTTTTGGACGAATAGACATTTCTATGCAATAGGTGGATTTCTATTCTAACGTGAGTGAGAATGAAAATAGATTCTATCTTCTGCTATTTTAACAATGTTGGTAAAAAATGAACAATGAGAATATCGAAGGGAACAAACAATTTTGCCAATTATCATTTATACGTTTTGATAGCATTTTACTATCCAAATGGATTTTCCCGAATAGAAATTAAAATACAGAATTTTTTTTTAATTTCTTTTTAAATCGAGTCTATTAAAAATTGCAAAAATATCCATAATTCTGAATACTGGACATAAATATTCAAAATAAAAGAAGCAAATATCAAGAAAGCCGTATAAACAATTAAAGTAAAAGTATGTATCATTCTCCACTTTCTATCGATTCAATTAATAAAAAATTATATACATGTGGCAGGTGCTGGGCGTATGGAGCACCAGTTATATCCCTAAAGGGACACGTTTCGGCCCTTTGGTCGGTCAGGTGTATACGAAGGATTCGGTACCAGCAGACGCGAACCGAAAATACTTCTGGCGGGTAAGAGCTCAATTTTGCATCTATTATTTAACTAAGAACCTCACTGTACAAGTAACTTTCCTCGGAAATAATCAACATAATCAACATAAAATAGATGCAATATCAATATAACATAAAAAAAACGAAAGAAAAAAAAGAAACGAAAAAAATCATGAAATCAGGAAATATTGAAATTAATTTTAAATGATGCAGTGAGCTTTAAAGCACGAGCGTATGTCTCGTAATTCATTAATTCGTTATGATAATTATTTAGTTTTTCTATTACCTATCTTCGTACAAAACATATAATATATGTAAATCGAGATGACAAACAAAAAGATTAAAATAATGCCTTTTCAAGATTTTCTTGTCATGATCACAATATAAAAATATATATGAATCTATCATAAAAAAATATAAAGTAATTATAAAAATTTTATAAATAGATAGCATTTTTTCAGACAACCCTAGTTAAGTAAAATAATCATATATGAATACCTTTGGTCATTATGACTATTAAGCAAATATAAATCAAAATTGTTGATGTCAATATGCACAATTCTAATATAATTTAATGATAACGGGCAATCACTGTTTATATATAGAAAACTTCAGCAATTATAAAAAAAATTATCAATATCCTAAAAATATCTAAAAGGAAGATATGTAGATATTTCACGTCTACATTTTTTAGATATTTATGTTGTCTTGAATTGTGAACACACATATTTATAAAACAACAATTACTATCTATTTATTTTAATTTGTAAAATTAGCTAAAATATATTTTTGTGGGATCGTTTTAAAAATACATTTAATCGTCATAATAACAAAATATTCACATTGCTAGGTGTACAAGAACAACGAGCTGTTCTACTACATCGATGGTTATGATGTCCAAAAATCGAATTGGATGCGTTACGTGAATCCCGCCTATTCGTCCGAATCGCAAAACCTAATAGCATGCCAGTATAAGGTAAAATAATTTTACGGAGTGCATATCTCACGCGAAGGAGCATATATTTCAAACTTCGTCTAGATTATAAGCAAGAACAAATTGGCAATCATTGCAGTTATATTCTTTCATCTTTTTCAGATGAACATTTATTTTTACACAATTAAGCCGATATTACCAAATCAAGAATTATTGGTTTGGTACTGCAGGGAATTCGCGGAAAGGCTCAATTATCCGTTCACTGGCGAGTTAATGCTTCAGAGAATACGTAAGTAAACATTTAGCCTGAATTAATATATATATATATATAGTCGGGTTTCCATATTAATTACTACCGGATTCTCCTTATCAAACCACTTCCCCTTTTGCGCTGCTCTCTCGCTATTCTCCATCTCATAACGAAACGGAAAAACTCTCTTGTATTAAACAAAAAAATACTATATAGGAAAGAGAAAATAATGTACTACTAAGCTATTTCAAATGTTTTTTGCGTTTGCAAAATATATATGCATGTATTGTACTGTCAGCTGATACTGAATTTAGAGTCGAAAAAAATATTGCAATAAAAGTGGCCAATGGCTATTACTTTTAAACAAAAGACTAAATATACATAAATAATTGTTTCTATAAAATATAATAAAAAATTGTATTATATATAATTTCTCTCTCTCTTTCTCTAATAAATATCTGTGAATATAAATTTTCATTTTAAGCTTTCAACTAGAAATCAAAGCTCAAAACAAAATAGTACATTTTCCTTCAAATAATAATTAATAAAAAATCAATATAATATAAATATTGATATATTTATATTATTAACACGTTAAATGTTGGGTGAATTTTGTATGTCTTAAAATATCCAGACATACTGAAATAAAATGTTCAGTGTTAGAAACATATAATATGAGCATATAAAATACCTATATATGATTATATATATTATATGATATATACATATATTATGTATACTGCAATTATCTCTATTTGCATATTTCCTACCGATCAATATGTTCAACGGATATCATTCAACGAGAAATTAATGAAATAATAATAATAATATGGTTACGCGATAGATAATATATTATTTATAATATTATTCAGAAGTTCCCAAATATTATTTCAAACATTTAAAATAATTTGGATGTTGGATTAATTAGTTGTTTTTAATTAATTTGCTCGTCATAGTTCAACATGTTAAATATAATCTCTTAGGACAACAAGTACAACAATCGACGCTACCAACGGAAATCTCACCTACTGTCGATGTAATGCCCTTGAAAGACTCATCGATTTACGAAAGGCGTCAAATGACGCCAACGGATGGTTCCGTGAGATCAGATGAGGGTTACCATTCAAACGGCTACCACGACGAAATTCTGACGCCACCCGAGGAGAGCAGCGAATCCGATAGTGAGAACAATTATGTACTGGACTTTAGTAAATCGTCGGTATGCGGCAATGAAATTTTGAAGCAAGATAATACCGCAGCGAAGAACGAATACAGGAAAGTCAAGATCAAGATCTCCAAGACCTATGGCAATTTCCAGACAACAAAAAGTATAACTGACAGCCCGACGAAGGAGAAGGATCAGGAACTGAGCTCCAATAGAGCAGTTACTCCGGAACTTCAGAAACCGGTATCGCCCATCATCCTACAGAAGAGTACGGTATTATCAACTGTAAACGAGGATGAGATATCCGAGAAGAATCCGAAAGCTTTCTACGAACCGGAAGTCAAGAATGGCAACTTACCCATGTCTGGCAGATCCGCCTACTTGGTCAACCCACCCAGCAGTTCTATCTTGGAGAATATTCTACTGCGCAACAATACGGATAACAACAACAATAACAGTCACAGTCATCACCACAATAACGGCACGCAGCAACACCATCAGCACCATCAGATGCATCATCAGACTCATGTCGACTCGGTGACGCCGCCACCCTCCAGCCCCACCGAAATGGCGTATTCCTACAAAAAGTCTCATCGTTACGGCAACATTCTGCCCTGTAGTCCAGACTCCAGCTCGAACCTGCCTCTACAAACGGACGCGTGCGTAAACTCAACCAGCGGTAACGGAGGTGCGTTGCCCAGCATGCAGAGTCCCACCGGCAACATGCACTCCAGCACGGGAGGACCGCATTCGAGCACCGGAGGGAACAACGGCAACCTGCCGATGCATCCCGGAAGCTTGCACTCGCCCAGCAACCTCGGCGGCAACATTCATTCCAGCACAAACGTACTCTCATCTAACGCGATGCTAACGTCCACCAGTAATTTGCACCCAGCGTCCACAACGATAAACGGTTGTCCGCCAAAACGAAAGACCAAATCACCGTCACCGTCCTCGAGTCAGAACAGCGTTTCCACTCCGACGACGATTCTTTACTCCGGCAACTCGGCCGGCACAGGCTCGGGAAATTGCCAAATTGAATCCGCCAGTCCGATCTATCCGAATTCCGCCGGCAGTAGTAGTAGCGGCAGCAGTAGCAATCAGAGCGTCTCGCCGATCTCGCCGATCCAATCGCCCTCGTCTTACGGTCCGTACGGGAGTTTGTACGGCCATCAAAACGGCTCGCTGCATCATAACGTGGAGGCGCCGTTATCCATCAATTGCACCGCCTATTCGCCCACACCAAGCGGCAACGTTGGCGTCTACGAGAGGTCTACGGATGGTAGACGGCTGGAGGCGGCCACCAGCAGCAATAGCCACCAATTACCCACCTCGTCGACCATGCAAATTGACAGTAACCAAGCATTGATTGCAGGAACGCACAATCTCCACTTGGGTCATCATCCGAGTCTCACTATTCACCCTAACTCCTCGTCGTTCCTAAATAGATATTCGCCGGCGAGTTCATTATCGCCGGACGATCACGGTTGTTCCCAGAGCGGCTCGCTCAGCCCTAATTCTCAAGGTTCGAGGGGATACAGATCGCTGCCTTACCCGCTCAAGAAGAAGGATGGCAAGATGCACTACGAATGCAACGTCTGCTGCAAGACCTTCGGTCAGCTGTCGAACCTCAAGGTGCACCTCAGAACACATTCCGGCGAGAGGCCCTTCAAGTGTAACGTCTGCACCAAGAGTTTCACGCAACTCGCACATCTCCAGAAACATCATCTCGTGCATACTGGTAAGCGTATCAATCCGCAACAGCAATATGTGAACGCGTGTAGTATTAAAATCTTTTTAACATTAATTATATCGATGTATATATTTTATAAGATGTTTATTTTTCAGTATCTAGCAAGTTTATTCATATCAAAAAATCTTATATTTTCTTTATTAATTATTATTTCTATTTTACGTAAAGAAGAATATATATTCCCGAGAGATCATTCAAAATATATATTCTATTTTCTTTAGATATTTTTCATTTATATTATAATTTTAAATTTATATATATATATATATAAACTCTTAAAATTACATATAATAATTATAAAGAATTAATTTAGGGAAGAATTGTCTAATACGCGTACCAGTATTTTTCTATTTATAATATTTCTGTCTTAATATAACAGTACCGTCAATTGTGTTCTTAGGTGAAAAACCGCATCAATGCGAGATATGCAAGAAGAGATTCAGCTCGACCTCGAACCTGAAGACCCACCTAAGACTACACTCTGGCCAAAAGCCATATGCCTGCGATCTTTGTCCCGCCAAGTTTACCCAGTTTGTCCATTTAAAATTGCACAAGAGGCTGCACACGAACGAACGCCCCTACACCTGTCAGGGTTGCGACAAAAAGTACATTAGCGCGAGCGGCCTCAGGACTCATTGGAAGACAACAAGTTGCAGACCCAACAACATCGAGGACGAACTCGCACTTGCCGCTGCCGTAGGTTCACCGACGTATTACGAATATGGTCCCGACATGAATGTTGGTAAGTATGAGTTCTCGATTAGATACAATCCAAGTAAAATAACTAAACATAATAATAATTTCACTACACAGGGAAAAACTTAGCTATCATAGCTAAATTTTAGTTGTCATTACTGAATTTTAGTTATCATCTCTAAATTTTAACTATAACTAATATTTTTAGCTATAGTTTAAGAGAATACTATAGTTAAAAAAATATTAGCTACCGTCATAGCTAAAATTTAAGCATGGTAATTAAATTTCACGTTTAATATAGCTAAAATTTAGCTATAATAACTAATTTTTTCCGTACAGCTTTCTTGTTATACGTTGCAAAAGAATTTATTGTGATGAGAAAAATTCTTATCACACACAGATATCAAATTTGTGAATGTTCGGAACTTTGTCAAAATGTTAAAATTATCCAAAAACGAAGAATAACACAACGATAGGGTATGCAGAGAATGCTAAACGGACTTGTCATATTTGTAGGAAATATGCCCAAGGAATGCGAACTGGAGCACATCGATAATTACGATAGGCATGGCTCAGCGCATAATCCGCACTCCACGTCTCTCCATAATTTGGAAAACTCCGTGGGTCGGCCAAGCGTAATAGAAACGTCCCAGCCGCATATTATCGAATGTACATAAGTCGCATGGTGGGGTATCAACCCCTCTCTCGCTCCGGCATAAATGTAACCGTGGAAATGTAAGCGAGTTGCTCGCAATCGACCAGAAGAACTGGAAAAGAGAGCTCTTCTTCTCTGGAATGGCAGCAAGAGTGCAAAGAGTAAGAGTGCTTCTCGTAAGTAATATCATACGAAAAAACGTTTTCGCAAACATTTCTTCTTCTTAATTTTGATAAAATATGATAGATTTAAAGCGATAAGTTTTTGATTTATTTCATTTAATACTTTCATTTAAGAATTAAAATTATTTTTCAAAGCTATACGTTTGGAAACGTATAAATAACTTTTTTAAAAATTTGATAGTTTTAAATAACAATATTAAATTATTTTTTAAAAAATGTACCTTTTCTAGTATCTTTATTATCTTAATTTTTCAGATTTTACATTATACAATATGAAATTATTTAAAGAAAATAATTTATTAGTGTTTTTGTTGTAAAATGTATTTATTTTTAATTTTTCATTATTGTCAATTGAATTAATTATTAATTCAATTTATTATACTAAGAAAATTGTGTGACAGAAATGAAGAGAAAAAACTCTGTTACTTAATTTAATCTATAAAAATCTATCATATTTCATTAAAAAATAAAAAGAAAAATTTTTCAACATTTTTGAAATAATGAGAAAATGTAAAATCATGATATACACGAGAATCTTTATAGAGATATATAGATCATCATTAGTTGCATAACAGAAAATCGTTTAATCCATTGGTCAATAGTTATGTAACTGTCTGAAATCAGTCTAAAACAATTTCTTAGCAAATATTATTTAAAATATTATTGCTTTATCGAAACGAGATATAGAAATATAAGATATAAAATTTTAAAGATACATTTTTCGTAGAAAAATTGACAAAATTCTGCTAAAGTGCATAAAGTTAAATATTTATAAAGCTTCTTTATAAATATAGGATGTCCGATAATAATCGTATTACCTCTCGTATGCGTAGAGCGGATTAAATCGAAAGTCTTTAAGTAATACGAGTTTTATCTGACACCTCATATGTCTTCATTTCTTTTTTCTTTATTTTTACTAACGTTATCAATGATAGAAGCGACGTTAAAAATTGAATTTGATCAATGTATAATGAGGTCGTAATGCTACCATTCCAAGAGAAATGAGAAAGAATATATATAAACATATGCATAATAGAGTACCAAAGTCGCTCGGGTTTCTCCGAGAAATTTTCTCGATTACTTTTCCACGATACATCTTAGGATCGCATGTCGAAGATGGTGATAATGCAAAAAATCGCGCTAACGACTTTAATAAATAGTCTTTAATCATTTAAAATATATTGAATTGATTCCACTAAGAATCTTATAAAGCAATCTGATTTTTTAAATACCCATTACTATTTATTTTTCTTGAAAATATTTATATATATATATATATATATATATATATATATATATAATATTTCTTATTGTTAATACTTTTATTTAACGCTGCATTTTCAATTTCTAATTAATCTTGCATCTAAATGCAAATCTAAAATTTTAGATTAATAGCAGCAATAAGATTGGGAAAGTAATTTGTTACAATTACTGTTTTTTTTCTAATAAAAAGTATTACTGTTATTTTTTGCCTAATCTTACAAAATAATCTCGTTATCATCGTGCAATAAAAATCATTAACAAATTATTATATAATTTTTTATTACTTTTTTAATACTGATGTAGGATTTAAATTAATTAAATAGTTAAAAATTTACATTTTTATATAAATAACTTTTTGTTAATAAACTTTTAACAAAACAATATAGAATAACTTTTGATATCGATATTACTATTGATATAAAGTATAATTTCAACAGCAAATTTTAAAACAAGTCTTAATGTTAGAGGACCAAAACAATTTTTTTAAATAAAAGTTCTGATTGTGTGCTAATGTACAAATAAAGTTTTTAACATGCAAATATTTATAAGATATAATCTGATCTAAACATATAATTTAGTTCAAAATAAAAATTGCTAAATTTGAAAGAAATACTTTATCAGTTTTTTTTCTTTTATGCGATGCTCACTATTCATTAACAAACGTTAAATGCATAAAAATCAGGTCAACGAATAAATTCGAAATAATGATAAAATAACGATAAAAACAAACTGCTGAATTATTTGTTTTAGAAAAAAATGTAACACTACTGCTGTTTCATTATAGATGAAAAAAGTATTTTCATCAATTCGTTTATCAATTTATTATCAAAAAAACGTAACGGTAACGGCATTATAATGCATTACTTTCCAATCTGAATGATAGTAATATGAAAAAAGTGGATCAATTTGAGATATCATGAAAAAATTACAATAATCATCACGTCATTAAAAAAAAGTCAACGTTTCACATATCGCACATTAATTTTTTACAAAATGTCACGCAATCTTCGACGTGTTTAAGTCGGTGTGTAAAATGGCGGATTTTGTCGGCACCCGTCATGAGATGTTCGCATAACGCGCAAGCAAAGAAAAACAAAAAAAAAACGAACAACCAGAGACGACACGACTGCAACTATACGAGACCTGTACCTGTACATACTAATATTACTCTATTAATTATTCAATAATTTAAAAAAGTTAATATAAGAAGTTCTAATTTATGAATACCCGTGTATATATACATATATAAGCATACATGAGTGTATGTATGTGTGTGTGTGTATGTATGTGTGTGTATATGCACATCCGTGTGTGCACATGCATTAAGTATATACATGCATGTATACGCACGTATGTGCGCGTGTTCATTACCGGTTAGCGGACGGTAGACTGCGCTTTACGGTAACTTTCCGCGATGCATTATTAAAAATAGAGTAATTTATTGATGTGCGTATAAAAGGAAACAAAATGTTAAGATCATCGATATGAATTTCTTTTATATTCATTTTTATCGTACACTCACGTTACTTTTGATACACGATTAACGCGTGTATTTGTCCCTTTTTAGATACTTTTTTTATTGTTAAACTTTTAAATGAGATTTTATATTTATGTTATATTAATATTTATCAAAATTTCGTTGAGTTTTCTCATCAGGATAAGCGATAATGCGATCTCTTTTTTCTCTTTTCATACTTTAATTGCAGACTGAAGCGATAAAGTACAATTATGTATCGCAATTGCTCCTATTGTTATATTATTGTTAATATTTATTCCTCGATACATATTCCTAATATCGTTACCCAATTAATTTTCATACTCGAATGTGTTTCTATTACAGCTTTTTTTAAATTTGTTTTCACAAAATGCTCATTAATTAGAAAATAACATCTAGTAAACACGGTTTTGATTGTTTAAAAGATATTTTCTTGTGTGTGCACTTCAATTAAAAATATTCCCTTAGCTTTAACTGATTAAAACCTAAATATGCAGAAAGAATCATTATTTGTAAAATCAAAAATTATGGTAGAAAATCTAGTCAAAACATTTCAAAAAAGTTAGCGCATATTTATGCAATATGTTTATCGCTATCAAGTTCTCGTATTTATTTTTTAAAGAAACAATCTGACTATTAAGAAGAAATTGTTGATGAATATCTAGTCTCATTCAAAAAAGATGAAAAGACTTCCTAAAGAAAGAATCCTAAGAAGTTTTCGTTTATTAACATTTTATCGATATGTTAAAAATTATATAGAATATCAAAGCAATATGTTGAATATTAAACAAAATTTTTCCTGTTATTGTTAAAAAAATTAATTTAGAAACTTGATAGACATATTGTGTATGATATGTAAGAAGAATATTTCGGAATTGAAAATTTTGCACGATTTATCAAGGGATCATTTTGTGTGCATAAAAATATTTGATTTTTTTCACGGTGCTATAATGAATATAATTTCATTGAATATTGTCTTTTTGTTTTCATTGATTTTATATATATATATATTATATTTGACGAATTCGTATTTCCATTAATGCTAAGCTGGGTTTTGAACGAGTTAACTCTAAGCGCAGCTTACCGTAATGCATGACAAATTCTTTTTACTGAACGGCGATTCGTTCTGAGACTTCGTAAAAAGCCAGACTAAGACTTAAAAAAAAAGCAAAAAATTTTTAATGCGTTGAATTTTTAAGTTGAATTCTCGAAATGCCGTTCCGTAACAATATCGATCTGAAGGGCGTATCGCAGACTGACATATACATGGCTATCGAGCATTTGTAAGATTCTAAAAAGCCACGTACTCGCGATACGATTCTTTGCGAGAGAATGAGCAATAGAGAAAGAGAGAAAGATAATATATATATATATGTGTGTATGTGCGTGCGTGTGATATCTAAAGAATTTAAGTGATTTTCAAGAATATAGGAGCGCAGAGTATGTTAGGGAATGTATTATTATTCTAAATTCTGGCTTCCTTCGCAAGATCCTCCAAGGTTTCAGTTTCGCAAAAATTTTCCTCTCGCGTTACGCAAGCAATTGAAATTCCAAAGAAATTTATTCTTAGCTGAATCTTTCATCTTCGGCCGATGTAGCGAGAAAAAGCGCACAATCTCTCCTCTGTTAAAACCGCGACACTCACTTAAAGTTTTTGCGAAACTGACGAACTTTATTTCTCCATTCCCGAATACTTATTATACTGTACTATTTCACCACCTGTCTCTGCCCGCCGGACAATGTCAAACACATTTTCGAATGGAAAGATCCTCCTCGACAATTATTCCATAAGTTTAAGCATTCGAACTCGATTCGCGAGATAAATGCGAGACGATGTACCGTATAGAGATCCGAAGGGCCTTTACACTCTTATAATTTGCTAGTATATCCTCTTTAATAAATCAGGCAACGACTATATGCGCGGGCAATTTATGGGATGTCGAATTCTATACAATGTATGCTATCAGCGATTCATCCTCTCAATGCTCAAGATTCCGTGATCAAGCTCTATGCAAGCTCCTCAGAATCAGCGCGTTATGCATTTTCAGCATTCGTGTTGTATGAGGAGTCTGCACGCTTGTTTCACGCAATAAGAAGCGACACTGGGAAACACGAGCAATGTAAAACAAGAAAAGAAATAGCGACCTAGAAAAACATCCGAAGACTCATTATGTAATAATATCGCGTTGTAACAATTTTCTCTGGCGATGATCGTGATTCCTAGTGAAGTTTCTTACATAGTCCGAACGTCATTCTGTATATTTTGCCTCGATTTCCTGCCCTGCATTTTGAAAGCACTATAAATGAATAAAGAAGTAAAACAGAGCTAGAGGAGAAATTTAGGCGCTTTAGGATTTTGAATCGCGAAAGCTAATAGAGCGAGAAAGGACGGGAGAGAGAAGACGCACGTAGAGGGGACAGATGGAAGTAAAGACCATGTAAATACATATGCTGAAAGTAGTGAAATATCGAGAGGAACCGGACAACCGAGGATTACTAATCGCCTCGAGAACAAAACAAGCAATATTTAGTTATTATCATCTCGTAATAATTAAACGATAACGCTCCAACTGTACCGTGCACGTACGCGTGCACGCATTCGTACATATTTAAACGCGACTATAAATTAAATGTTAATTATCCTTACACTTTGTGTATGTATGTATGTATATATGTATGTTATATATATAAATATATACATATATATACACATACATATACAGTGAAATTGTTACGCATTTATTATCATTACAATTATTGAATAGGTAATGCTCAATTAGCATTTGTTTCTTAAAATAAAGAATAAATATATGGCTGTTGGATATTTATATGCACTATATCACTATCACATCTCCATATATTGTTATAACCTAATATTATTTATTGTGTTGTTAATGATCGATTGACGAAAACGAAATTATGTTCGATTATAATGATTACATGCGAGAAGAAAAAACATGGATATGGACGTGACTTGGATAACCAAGGATTATAACCACAGGAGTGGAACACCAGGGCAATTGGTTTCCAAGTTTTTATTGTAAATTGATCTACAATCACCATATCCGATTCATCGCTGCATACATCATTATTATAAATAATAAAATGCCATAGCAACGCTATCCGACGTGCGCGTCACTTATTATATCCACATACATGTATGTATGTAACATACATATATGAAATCCATCGATTCAAGTTTGTCCAATACGAGCCCGAAATCTTTTATAACTTCGTGCCACAGAAACAAAATTTATATTTGATTTGTTATGATTCAAATTTTTCTAGTCTTTCGCTAATTTGATAAAAATTGGTACTGTTGACAAACTGCAACCGCGCAAAGTTGCAGTCGCCGAAAAATTAGAAGGGAAGAGATTATCTAAATTGTTACATATAAATTTTGCACTTGCATCATTGATCTCCCCTAGATGGAGATACGAATAAGTCCTTTTTTCGGTACATATTGTGAGAGAATATAATATACACTATAGTAATTAGAAAAATAATACGATTTTGTCCTGTTAATGGAAATAATTAACTATATGTGTAATGTACCACATATATGATTTATGCAGGTATGGACATTCGTATCGATAGTACGTTGTCACAGTTAATCAATTCCCTAAAAACAATACAAGAAAGGGGACTTCACATCTGCTGTGGCAGAATAATTGACTAATGTGCTAATTTATGTCACCATTGCGTTTTTGACATTTAATGCGCACTGCCGTTAGAATTAACAAAAATACACTTACCTTATCAAGGTACAGGACTGTCTGTTCCACTCCCACTGTTGGTCCCAGTTTCTGTCTTAGTAGCGGCCACTCGATCACCTCGCTTGGACGTTTTCGACAACGATGCCACTTCCTTCAGCAAACTAGATATCTTGTGCTGCAGATTGGAAATTTTCGTCTCATATTCCTTCTCCGAAGCTTTCATTTTATTGCGCATCTCCGTCTCGGATGTGAAATTTTTCGCTTTCAGTTCAGTAATCTGCAATCAAAATGTCGGTTATTTAGTTTATCTGCTCGCTCTTATATATTCCGGTAAACAACTTTGAAATTCTTTTCTTTACGCACTTGTCTATCTTTTGCTAGTAACTGACTGTCTTTTATACTGATTTGTTTTTGAAGATGCGCTATCTTTTCCTTGAGCTGCGTAACGGCCACAACATGATCGGAACTGTTCGGATCATGCGGATCGTGCACGCCAGCCATCCGAGCTACTTTCGCAGGAGTAGGACCATTCGTGTCTCCACCCTCAGATTGTGGTGGTAGTTTCGTCACATCGACTCTGTGCGGTCTTTTACTGTGACTTTTTAATCTAAAAAAGACAAATATGAAATATAAACGAGAATTTCGCTCATGTGATCTGCAAAGTTATTACCAAACATACATCTTGCGTGGATTTGAAAAATTGTAGTAATATTAAAAAATACCAAGTACAAAGTTACTTTGCAATATTATAAATTTAGATAATTACTTTTGTTCTTTATGCTTTGCAGCCCGCTGTTGTGCCAATTTCAAATGCGCTCTTCTCTCTGCATCCGATTGCTTTGTTTTTGCCAATGCTCGTTTATATGACAACGTACAGAGCCAACATAATAACTTGCCGTCTACCTAAAAATCAAAATATCACCATAATCGATTTAGTAACATTATAATAGGGTAGGGATTTATTACCATATACCAACAAGAGAGAGAGAAAGAGAGAGAAAGATGTCTTAGCTGTAGAAATTACACTTGATGATTATTCGCTCTCTAAAAAAAGAAAAGAAATTGTGACAGAAAGTCAAACATACAAATTTAAAAAATATAGCTATTATGATAAAATTGCATACACAGCTACTTTCGATTATCCAGAATAATAAATCAAATTGTAAAATATTGTATTTGTAAATTATACAAAAAATGTATATGTAAATTTTAAACATTGATATTTCCATACATAAATTTCTTATAAGAGAAATATTTATTATGAAAGGAATGTATATATTTAAAGTATAAAAAAATTCTAAAGAATATATATATAAATAGTCATATTAAAGCTATAGCATGAGATTTATAAGGTATTTCAAAAATAGATATTAAAAACCAAATTTAAAAACATATTCTATTCACTGTAAGAATAAAAAGTGACTTTTTTCATCTTTATGATAAGTAGAATATGCTCTTAATATTGGCTATCTACATCTGATTGTGAAACATTCTGTGGAATAAAATTCAAGTACTTATACGTATCCTTAGAGGAACAAAAAAGTTGTGTCAACAAATATGAAAAAAATATTCAGAAGAAAAATAGTATGTAGACCTCAGTATAAAATTTAATTTATGATATAATTTATCACACAGCTAGAAATCATCTCCTTCTCTAGTAATATTGAGAGCGACAAACATGTTGTCATTATGTTACCTTTTTGTCTTCGTCCTGTCTGTCAAAGGCACACTTTTGCTTGCATTGTTCGCATGTAACTGGTGGTCCATAGCGTTTCTCCGAGTTTGTACATCGTTGGCATTTGCTACCAATAAATGCAGCTATAGTATTGCAGTATTCGCAGGCTGATGGCTTCCCATAGGACTTTACATTTTGCTCGCACTTTTTACATATAGTGCTTGTATTGCCTTTTCTGCAAAGTCAAACAAATTAGAGTAATACATGATTTATATCCATTTAATATGTAATTTTTATAATAATAAAATAACTTAAACTTACATAGTTTGTTGGAATTCTGATCTGCAATATGTACATTTCACCACTGGAAACGCTCCTCTGCATTCCTAAATAACAACAAATTTTCTTAAATATTAACAGAAAAAGAATCAATTTTTCATATTTTTCTCATAATAATATAAACAATATCTTTTTTTTACAACACTTGTCTAAAAATTACATATTTATTGTAATATATAATACATACACATATTTTATGTATACATATATATATATAAAGTTTTAATATAAAAAATTTAATATACAGCAAAATATGTTTATCCTCAAAATATTAAATCCAGAATAAGTAAAAAAATTTTATATATTGTGAGCACGTTTATGTTACATTAGTTACATCTTCGGCGTTATGAAAAATTTATCAATGCTTATAGAAAAAATATCTTTCTCCTAATATACAATACAAAGTATTAATACTCTATTTATATTTCACAGCACTTTCGCGATCTATGTTACAGCAGAGAATTCTCTTCGTTAGCTTTTCGCGATAAAACACATTCAACGCGTGGAAGGTAGGCACATTGTAAAAACGACTGCAAAGCTCGCGAAAAATTAGCAAAACGCCCACGAGAAACAGATTGCAGTTTAGTTTGTACCTTGCACAATTGTTGCCCGGGCGAGAGATCTTCGAAGGGATGCCTGGAGAAGCATCGGGAGCACGCAGAGAGCGCTTGCATATTGTTTGCGCTCATCTTCGGCAGCAAGTCGGCAGTCGCTGGATACGTCACTGAGCAACGAGACGAGAGGCGGCAGCCGAGGGAAGCGCGATGAATCGATGAGGAGAGAACAGTCGTGTGCGACTACACACGGATCCTCGGCGAAAAAAAAGGAAACGTAAAAATCGCCGATGATCACTGATGCTAGCGATTTTATTCCTTCGAAAAACCGGCTGTTGACTTTTACGTAGCCATCAACGACCGCTACGATCCACCAAACATGGCCGACTGCGACAGTAGAAGTGGCCGTTCGAGGGCGTTCCATTCGCTCTATAGTACGGTCAGCCTCTACTATCCTATAGACAATGTTTGCTGTTAAGGCCATTGCACACGACAAAATTTGAATCGTAACCATATGATTCGACCAATCGCGTTGTTTGATTCTTACTGTTACGGAATTGAACGAATTTCTATTATCCACAATTTTAATTATTTACATAATAGAAATACGGCGAATTAAAATTATGTATATATAATAAAAAATTAAAAATTAAAATTATGTGCATAATAGAAATTCGACGAATTAAAATTATGTACATAATAGAAAATCAGGAATTAAAATTATGTATATATATAATGAAAAATAAAATTCGGCTCGTGTAAAATTAAAATAAGTTATAAATTAAAAGGCCAACTTAACGAGCTAATTAATTAGGTGTTAACAATTTATTCTACATCATGAAAATAATACAAATGATAATTAGTAAACGTTTCAACTGTACGACAGTCTTTATCAATACAAATATCGCTTTGCTAACATATCCATAAATTAAATAATTTGGAAAGACAGAACTTATCACACATGTAAAATATATAGACTTATAATATGAAAAACGCAGTATAACATTATAATTGTTGGCTTGAATTACGGCTGATCGTTCGAATTAGTCGTTAAAGAGCCTAATCCCGAACATCAGATTTCTGTAGTTCTTTTTAAATAAACGTCTAATTTTGTAATCCATGATGTGATAATAATATGTAATATGAGATCTATGTCGAGACGATAAAAATTCTTTAACATATTTCTTGTTGAAAAACATTATAAACAGTGTATATTTTGTAAGAAGCAAACTCAATATCTCTATTATATTGTGTTTATTTTGTATTATATTGTATTATGTTGTATTATATTGTATTATATTGTGTAATTCTCATGCTCAGTCGTACTTAGAATCGATTCTTATTGTTTAGAACATTCCCAATCAAAAAATAAATTGATGGAAAAAGCAGAATTCGAAAATCTTGAAATTTGAAGAGAATCAACTTTGACAGTTTTTTTTAAACTACTGTATTTTCTAAAGTGTACAACTACAAGCAAAACGAAAATCACTTCCCACAATTAGAAACGATATTAAATAATACTGCGTATTCGGATTTGTTATATTTTAAAGTTGGGTCACAATTTTAAATTTCGATTTTTACATTGACGAGGCTTGCGATTGTAAAATGCTGTTTTTTTCGTATTAAAAAATTAATTCCTTAAACTCAGGTGCCACATTTACATTAATATATTAAAGACACGACATTTCCAAGTGCGAATAAAAATCTTTAAGTAAAGATAAATGAGAGGAGGAGGAGGCCTAGAAGAGGCATCTGGCATCGCCGAAGCAATCCTAAGGTGAATATTGTTGTTTGTATTAATTATTATAAATCGTATTAATTTAGTTCATTTACTTGAACAGTTTAAACAAGAGAAACTTAGAGATGTATTAAGATACATTTTTAAGAGATATACAGGATATGTTCGGTAACTCGCGTTTCACCCGTCAGATACAGGTAGAACAGGTCAAACTAAGTAGAAAAGTCTTCTACCATTTTGCAAAATTCTCAATAATTAATTATAATTAATGCAAAATTAATTTATAAAAATCGGCCAATTCACGTGTCTTACACAAACGCAAAAGATAATAATCGACAAAAGATAATAGCATGCATAAAGCTGGACCTTCGTGTTGACTGTTTCTTCTCTTCGCTACTACTCGCGTGGATTGGCCAAACTTTATTAATTAATTTCTTTTTATTATTGAGAAAGTCGCAAAACAGTAAAGGATTTTTTTACTCAGTTTGACTTGCTCTATCTGCAACTTACGGGTGGGGCGCGAGTTATTAGACACTCTGTATTTATATTTATATAAATTCTATAAAAGTTTCAACATACAACTTTTTTTTAACTTATAAAGTTATTTTATTACATATTTGAAATAATAATTAATTTGAACGTTGCTTTAATTTAGATTTTATATGTTACAGATAACACATGTAGATTTAACATCAATTACTTAAGTCTCACGCTGTTATGCATTGGTGTCAGTAAGTAATAAGTTAATTTTTATTTAATTTTTTGAGGTAACGGATTTATAGATCGTAGTTGTAAATTTTGTAAATAGTAGATTTTATAGATTGTAGATTGTAGATAAGTTAAGTGTTAAAGATAGATTCGTTACCTTAAAATGTATAGACTAGAATGAATTAAATCCCAGCAAACACCAATATATAATTGTTACATTGCTATAATAAAACGGAATATAACAGGTAATATAACGTGTACGTTACATGTAACATCCATGTTAGTTGTAATTTCTCACTCATAGATGTAACATTTTAATATAACATATATTACATTGTAGTTATATTGTAATTATATACCAAATAGTTTTTGACATTGATGTATTGATAAGTCAGTGCTATCTTGGGATATAATGACAATATAACTACAATGTAATATATGTAATATTAAAAATGTTACATCTATGAGTGGGAAATTACAACTAACATATACGTTACATGTAACATGCTTAAGTATATAACATTTATATATTGTGTTTGCTGGGATCATTCTTACTTAGATTGGACTTTGGATAAATGACTTTAATATACATATAATTAAAGCATATTGCATAAGTGTAAATTAAAATATAAAGAACGATATAAAAAATTCAATTCAGATTTCACTTATTTGTTTTATTTAAAAACCGCTTGTGATTTTATTTATTGTACATATTAACAACTGCATTATATATAAAAATAATTTATTCTTTTAACAAACGTTGATTGTCCTAATTTTTTGTAACATAACGTCGAGTCATAGATCAAAATTGGTTTTATATATATTTTTCTAACAATATATATATAAATTTAACAATGTATGAAAAATCGTGATTTCTTACGGTCATATCCGAGTGTAAAATTACACTCATGCACTGGCGGTAATGATAATTATAGCCGGAAACGGAAGGAATCTCTCTCCTTCATTGATATCTCTGATAGAGATTAAAGTTACACTGATTAGATGTAGCCAGAATGATTGTGGCCAATAAAGGTAAGTCCACTGGCCTAAAAAATAATTAATTTAATCATATAAATTACGCTATAACGGGTTTAAATTGTTCAAATAGATACACCAAATTAATTCACATACACAATACTGTATTCGTTTTATACTTTTTGATACTTTTTATACAAATTTTGAATCATAGAATAAATTAATTATATTCTTAAAAAGTTATTAGATTTCAAGGAATAATGTACATAACAAATATTATGAAACATTACGAAAAATATTTATAATTTTATAAAATAATTTTTTCATATTCAGTTTTTTTCGGTGTGTTTAAAATTAGCATTTTATTTTGTGAAAATTCATAAATAATTAAGAATTCTGACTTTATTTACTCTAGACTGTGTAGTGCGCTCGAAAATATGTTCACCTAGAGTCAATTGGGCTTCGACCAATCGGAGCCCGAGGATCTCTATTCTGATTGGCCGGGCGAGCTTCATTTTAGACAAGAATAGAGTTGAGGATACAATCTAGGTTGCTAACCACTGGTTCGCCGCGCCACCGCGCATGCGCACACATCCCCACCACTCCGACTTGCTTCTTCCTGCAGCAAAGCTTCGGTTTGGGACTGATGCTTGCGTGCTTTTTTGCCGGTCCGGTCCGCGACAGTATACGAGTGCGAATGTGAACAGTGTCGAGTATCTTTATATGGTTAATCGTCGCATAAGTCCGATCGCGCGTCTCTGGTCGTATTTCCGTGTCGTCGTGTCGAAGGTTGTTGGGCGCCATGAAAAGCTCGTAATCAAGTACGTCGCGACGCGCCGCCATGTTGCTCGGCATCGTACGTTGGGCCTCTGCCGTGAACCGTCGAGTCGGAAATACTCGGCAAAGAGCGAAAAATACATATATTCATTGTTCATTATCGAAATACGCGACGACCGCGAGTGTATATAGTGCTCGAGAAATGCTCCTTTCGCCGGATTCTCGCTCGAGGAGCTGAAATGATGCAATCGCGAAATGGTGCCGTATGCATTCACGAAATGGTGTCGTGTGCAAGGTGCTCGGACGATTTCCGACATTCGCCGGTAGTCATTTCGATTCTTATCTATCGAATTTCGGCGACATTTCGACGCTCCATTGTTCGGAGTTATCTCGCGTGGAAGCTCTTGCGCGATTTCCGCGATTTCTTCGTCGTCAAATAGTGAGAGAAAAAATATAGTGAAGTGCCCAAATCTGGAATAAGTGAGATATAAAATATATAATAAAGTGCAGTGGCTAATTTTGGAATATCAGCGAAAATATAGTGAAGTGCCCAAATTTGGAATAAGTGAGATATAAAATATATCATGAAGTGCAGTGGCCAATTTTGGAATATCAGCGAAAATATAGTGAAGTGCCCAAATTTGGAATAAGTGAGATATAAAATATATAATGAAGTGCAGTGGCCAATTTTGGAATATTAGTGACCTCTAGTGCGTCGCGAGGGAATTAGCTGTCGTCGTTTGATGAGACCCCCCGATAGGTGGCTCTTGAAGTAAGTGGCGACGCGAAAATGGAGCATCGTGCGCGAACAAGCTCTCGCGATTTTCTTTTCCCGAAAATGTGATAATAAAAATTCGGACGTCGCCGCTCGTCGCGATCGAAAAAAACAAGTAACGCGAGTGCAAGTGTTTCGAAGTTTCTTCTGAGAAGAGGAGGAGGCCCGGGGTGGCATCGGGTAACGGCAAAGGTACTACATGGTAAATAATTTATTTTTTATTATTACTATTTTTAATGTTAAACTGAGTGTAAGCTGTTCCACTTGCGTGTGTCGTCGTGTCATTGTTCTCTGTATTCAAGATAGAGACCAGAGATAACACCAATAATCGAAATCGCTTTTGTGATTATTTAACTTTCATTGTTAACAATTCGTAAGTGTATCTGAGAAATCATTTATCCAAATAAATCGCGTGATTTAT